TATCTGAACAACCTGCTGTGTTTTTTTTAATAATAAGTGCATGCTGCAAACCTGTTGTACTTATCTGAACAACCTGCTATAATGTGTTCCTGCTGCAAACCTGCTATATTTTATATGAACAACCTGCTGTATTTTTTTAAATAATATATGTGTCCATGCTTTTATTCATTTCTTGGTTTCCTCCTGAATATTCTGAACAACTTTGTGTTCATGCTTGGTTTTGTTGTAGGTACTTTTTACTTTGTGTTCATGCTTTTTAATTGTTGCAAATCATGGTGTTGTTGTAGGTAGTTTGTACTTTGTTGTTCATGTTTTATTAATAATATGGTTTATTTTCTGTAGGTAACTCCATTTGAATGGTTGAAGGCTGTCCCTGAAGAACACTGGGCAAGGTGTTTCTTTTCTCCTAATGCGGTGTGTGATGTGCTAGTTAATAATATTTCAGAGTCCTTCAACAACTACATTTTGGAAGCTAGGGATATGGCTATTGTGGACATGTTTGAGTGGATCAGAAGGAGAATGATGGCAAGAATCCAAGTGAAGAAAGCTGGAATAGAGAAGTACACAGAGGAAATTTGTCCTAATACAGTGAGAAAAATTGAAGAGCAAAGGGAAATCAGTAGGAATTGTTTCCCTACTTGGGCTGGAGAAGACAAGTATGAGGTGGTTCATGGAGTAAACAGCCATATAGTCCAATTGGGAACAAGAAAGTGCACTTGTGGTATGTTTCAAGTGGTTGGCTACCCCTGTTGCCATGCACTGGCATGCATCTCTTATCATAAGTTCAACATATCTGATTATGTGTCTGATTTTTTCAAAAAGGACATGTATATCAGGATGTATAGCCATATGATATTTCCAGTTCCAGGGATGAATGATTTTGAGGAGTCTGGAATGGGTCCAATTCTACCACCTGATGCTGTGAAATAAAGGGGTAGGCCAACAAAGAAAAGAAGAGCTGACGCAAATGATATGAGACCTATGGCAGCAACAAACAGTATCAGAAAGGGGCTTATCAAGAGATGCACTTTATGTGGTGGAAACAATCATAATAGGAGAAAGTGCCCCAAAAGAGGAGGTGGAGGTCAACAGGTCAGTGAATACTTTAAATTTGTCAACTTCCATTTTTTGTCATTTCAGCAATCACAATTCAACCTATGACATGATTTTGTTTTGTTTTTTATTTTTTTTTTGTTTGCTTTTTTGCAGCCATCCCAGCCACAAACACAATCCTCTCAACCACAGCCACAACCATCTCAGCCACAACCATCTCAGCCACAACCACAACCATCTCAGCCACCTTCTCAACCCACTCAGCCAGAGCCATATGTGCCTTCCATGCCATCTTTTGAAGATTTTATTCAGTGCTCTGGCCCTCAAACCTTCACTCAACAAAGCAGGGAATATGGTGGTGATTGGTGATTTCATTTCATGGTGTGTTGGTCAGTAAACATTTAATTTCATGAACATTTGCTTTTTTTTTGTATGTTGGTCAGTTTTTGTGTTTGTGATGATGACAGTTATGACATTATTTTGGGTGTTTATGGATATTGAAAACATTTTGGATAATTTATGGTGATGACAGGATAATTTGAATGCTATTGACAATATTTTTGGTAATTTTGGCTATTGATAGAAATGTTTTGAATGATGACAGTGTCTTTTGCTATTTCTGGCTATTGATAGTAGTGATAAACTGTGCTTGGAATGTGTTTGATAGTACTTGTGTCTGGAATGTGTTTCTGGCTATTGATAGTTATTTTATTTCTGGCAATTTTGGCAATTTTGATTGTGTTTGACAGTAGTTGTGATTGGAGTGGAGTGGTTGTGTTTGATAGTAGTTGAGGTTTGGTGTTATAGTTTGTTGTGTTTGTAGTTGGCTGTAATATAGTGGAGTGTTTGATTTAGTTGTGACTTGATATAGTTTATTGCAAGTTCTTGGAATGAATTACTGCATTTCATTGAAAAATAAAGGCATACATTGTCCAAATGAATACATTACTTATCATCTAAAATTACTTGA